GGGGAGACCTCATCGTGCTCTACAACTACCTGAAAGGAGGCTGTAGCGAGGTGGGTGTCGGTCTCTTCTCCCAAGTAACTGTCGAAAGGACAAGAGGAAATGGCCTCAAGTTGTGCCAGGGGAGGTTTAGATTGGACGTGAGGAAAAAATTCTTTACTGAAAGAGTGGTTCAACATTGGACCAGGCTGCCCAGGGAAGTGGTTGAGTCCCCATCCCTGGAGGTATTTAAAAGACGTGTAGATGAGGCGCTTAGGGCCATGGTTTAGTGGGCATGGTGGTGTTGGGTTGACGGTTGGACTCGATGATCGTAGAGGTCTTTTCCAACCTTAATGATTCTATGATTCTATATGCAGAATGATGGCCTTCAAAACGGGTTTTTGAAGGTATTGTTGAACAAAGTTAGCATTCTAACTTTCTCATGGAATACTAAGTCATGAGAAGTTTTATGAGATTGTAAAGCAAATAGTAATTTTAATTTGTTTGCTCATCACTATGCACTGAATTTTGCATCATTGCAAACATTTATTTGATTTCTAGTCTGGTCAAAGTGAATGTGGATGTTGCACTACTGAGGTCACTATTCATTGTCATGATAAGAAAATCTTTTCAGAAAGTACTTTTATGAAGAACTTGAAGAACTTCCTGTTTGTTATTTTTAGAATAAATTTTAAAATCTATGCTATAGGGTGAAGATAATGGAAAAATTTTTGAAGTATCATTAGAGTAACTACTTAATACGAAATCAAATAAGCTGAAAACACTGAGAAAGGGAGTAGTGCAGGACCACAAAATAACAGGTACACTGCAGCTGGTATGCTTTAAAAGGAAGCCAGCAGGCATCTGAGCAAGGTGTCATGGGGACCTTTAGAAGCACTTTTGTTATTGATTAGCACTCATGGTTGCACAGGCTGGCTGTCTCTTTCTAGGAGTATCTCTTAGGTTCTCTCAGGTTCAAGCTTCTGATAGTGGTAGGAATAATGGAAAAAATTGGGAGTAGTAACTGCATGCATATTAATTCCATTGGGTATACATTGCCTCAATTGTAGGCATTTGATTTTAAGGTGTTGTAAAAATTTGCTTAAGCATACACAATGTTAAAATTTCCTTTTACTGTAATCCTTACCAAAAACTCTAATGTTAAAGTAGAATTTGTCTTAATTTTTCTGTAGTTTGGGATGAAAGTTCCCTTATTCAAGGCAGATTATAGTACATGTGTGATTGCCCATAGGTGCTATATATAATAAAATTAGTTTTGTTTGGAAGAAGGTTGGTTTTCTCTGAATAATCATATTTTGTGAACAAGAGTTACTACTTTTTAACCAGTGAGAGCTGCTGCAAGTTCAATGTTTGTCTCAGCAATTTTGTAAATTCATAGTAGAGCTTTTGCCTAAGAGCTGAATGGAAGATGTTCCATGGAAGAGCACATTTAGTGACTTAGTAGTCAACTGAAATCCAAGGTTTATTTTTTTTAAAATCAGGTTCTTTTCAGCATGCTAGCTTGTTTGGCTCTATAAGCTGGGGTCCATGGAATATGTTGTGTTTTAACAAACAAACCCCCCATCTCCTATAATTCAGAAATCTTTTAAGGCTTAAAATCAGTTCGGAATCAACACCAGCTGGTCTGCTGTTACATTATTTATTTGGGGTTTTTGGTTTGGTTGTTTTTTTTTTTTTTTTTTTGGCTAGTGCAAATCAGTATTTACTTGAAGGTTGTGAATTATACCCATAACATCTCTGTGGAATTAGGGATTATCCCTTACAGTTACCTGGTGTCTGGGAACCAACTTTTGGTTCTTCTTCAGCCATGGGAAGGCCTGATCTAGATAGAATTTGGTTTGCACACAAGAATTGTGTGGAAAAAATAACGAGTCAGAAAAATATCTGAATTCTTCAGTTTCAGAATACCTACAGAGTTGTCAAAAAGGTTGTGTAAACCCCCTCAATAACAATAACCTCTGTTTTCTCATATATAAAAATAATTTTTTTTGAAAAAAAGGCAAATTTAAGTGCAGTAAAAAAGTTCAGAAATCTGGAAGATAAAAAGAGAGATGCTGGGGCCTGGTTGTTGCCAGTGGTCTCCATGCTGTCCTGGGGCATCCTCTTTGCTTTGGTTTCTTTCTATGAAACAAATGATGATCAACGCCTGAGCACTTTACAGTGAATAGCACAAGGTTATGGTTCAGTGTTACTCTAACAAAAATAATAATAAGATCATGTTAAGTCTCCTTCCCCCTTAGGATGATCTTTCCTGAAAGGTTTTTCAGATTTGCCTGTCTCAGCAGAAAATTATTGTGGCATGCAGCAAACAAAAATTGTGCGTTGAGACTAATTCTTAAAAGCATTTTTTTGACTAAATATTGCTGGAGGTAAAGTTTCATTCTCTGAGCTGGAGCCTGTGTCAACCATGAAACCTGGAATAGTGTGAGTTTCCTCAGGCTCTATTGTACTTACAGAATTTATTGGAAACAATACAGAGATAAGGATGCTGTCTATCAACAGAAATACTAGAATTCTCATATTTATTGACAACTAATGTGCATAGACGATTTGAGTGCGTAGCAGAGAATATTATTTGTCTATTTGTTATGCAAATAGAACTCTTCAAAAAGATGAAGAAAAAAAAAAGATTAATTGTGGCATTGGTAAGATTGTGACCTCTAAATGCTATCTTAAAGGGTAATTTATTATTCGAAGTGTCTGGTGTTATGTATTTCATTTTCTCTCAGTCAGTCTTTCATTGCCAGGAGGATGTTGCTGCAGAGAGGAGAAAACAGGCTGTAGTTGAACAAGTGATGGTGGATCAATTATCTAGGTAAGTGAATTTATAATGTAAAATTTCAGTTTTCCCTACAGAAGAATTTAGATCTGTGAGTGTGTGGCTTTTCTTGCCTAGGAAGTGTTTTGATCATCTCGTTCCAAGTCTTATGCAGTCTTATGTAGTGTTATTATTTGCAAAAATTCTTTAAATTAAACGTCTTTTTAATTTAAATTAAAAGATCGGTTTAAAGTGCTATGTGTAAGATCAATTTTTTCTGAGAATAATTTTTAATTTTATAGTTGAACCTAATTAAAGAGCTTTACAATGGCATTAGTGCTCAGAAATAACCCTCTTGCACCTCAGCAAGATATATGGATGCCCGCTGGTACAAATTACACTTCTTCAGTATTTATTTTATTTTCTAAGAATCTTAGTTTTATTAATATTCCTTTATTAATACTGACACAACATCCCTCTGGAGTAAAGGAGTATTATACCAATGTTGGGCAGGCAGGGAAAAAAGGCACAGTGATGAATCAAGTTGAACAAGGTTGTACAGGAAGGCTCTCCTAACTTCATTGCTATCCCTTTGGCTCCAAGGAAGCATTGCTTCTATGTAGAAAGAACCCTTTATATGTTAAGGGGGAAAAAAAGTAACTTCCAGGTAAAGCTGAGCATAGTAAAAACATCTTTCCTTACTATTATTCCCATAAACTTGTTCTCATTTTTAAGCATGCTTTAATAATTCAGGGCTTTATGCAAGTTGTCTGGTTATGGCAGTGTAGGATGCTGCAAGCTAGTGTAATATAGTTTCATGTTACCTTACACTTGCTAAAAATTATCTGTGGATAGCTCTACAGTACGTTGCATTCTGTGCTTAGTTTACAATCTCTGTAGTCATCTGTACTGATATTATAACCCATCAGATCTTAAGACTTTGAGGTTGAAATGTTGTTGCACTTCTGCATTTTATTTTTTCTTGGTTTCCGTTCCAACTGCAGTTTAAATGACCTATGTTGTTCAAAAGTGTATTAATGCTTTTACACTATTTAAAAGCTGAGATATCAAGAAAGTTGCATAAAGGAAACAAGATTGTACTGAAACATGATGTTAAATTCCAAGTGTCATTGTAGCAGGATTAAAAATATGGAAGTGTTCAGTGCAGAATTTTCAAAGAAATGCTTGTCCCATGTCGTAGCTCTACAAAGATGTAGGTAAAGCAGATGATTACAGAGATTATCTTAAAAATGCGCTGGTTGTATTGAAGTGTTTCAATCCTACTGATGTTGGATTAAACATACAGGTTTGTGCATCTTGGATCACGGATGTTCATTCTGTGCTTAACCTCCTTCAGCAGCTTTGCCTTATTTTTTCCACGTATTCCTTCTCCTACTCTGAACCCTTCTGTTGACAACATCAAAACAATATTCAGTAGTGCTGCAGCTGCATCAGGATGAACTTTTAATTTAAAAAATCTCTCTGTTTATGTTCCAAATATAACTGTGCCAGTACTGCCAAACAAATTGGCATCAGAGCGCAGGATGTTAGTCGGGGAAGATTAGTTCAAAACTGTTGCATGAAAAAAATCTATTAAAGGAAACACAAAGGTGTTTTGATTTTTTGGTGTTTTTTTTTTTTTTAGTAGAGCCAATCTTGCAGTTAAATCAGTGTAACTGATCTGTGCAAAGATGGATCTGCATAGATCAGAGAGCAAGTTTATAAAACTATATTAGATGTGCAAAATTATTTTTTCCTTCTGATTATGAACAATTTCAATAACGCGAAAATAATCTAATGTGTTTTTAAAGGGTCTCTTCTTTTCTTTACTTGTTAAACTGATACAGAGAATATCAAAATGTTAAGAAACCAGTTCATCTATTTCTTGTCTGCTTGATGGGACTTTGAGATCCTATGGGCTGTGGAGTGAGTGCTTTGGGAGAGGAAGTGCCAATGTTTTTGTTGGATGATGTCACTGGCCAGTACTAGTAACTGCTGTCACTGATTTTGGAGGGAGCCATGGATAAAGAATATCACTGATGGAATATTTACAGAAATAGTGGAAATGAGGAAAAAACCCGCCTTCGTAATCCTAAGATTTATTTTATATATACATATATAAAATATACTTTAAATAATACATCTATACATGTAAAGTTATTACATAGTAGTGCGCTGCCAGAATATTATTGCATATATTTGATTTTCAGTAATTGACTTCAGAATTTTTAAAAACAAACAAAAAAATAAGCCCACAAATTTATGCAAGCTTAACAGATAACTCCAAGATTTTATTGCTGTGTTATTCTTGGGTGTTTTCTTTCCTGAGTAAGAATATGTAAGAACTGAAATTAAAACTTACTGATAGTCAGAGGGCTTCTCCCTGCTCTTTCTGGTCAGAGCTGTTATAAGTGACCCGGAGCAATCCACGCGCACTGATGTTTACGAGGAAGCTCATGGACTTCCGGGACTTGGGACAGCACCGGTGCGTTTTAGAAGAAGAACACTGCATGAAACGAAGTAAGTTTTCTCTAGCGGTCATTTTTTTTTAGAAATACATTTTCTGCTGTATTTTTTATTATTTTGGGCTCTGCGAAGTCTGTTTGCCTTTCCAGGTGTTTTATTTCTGGCTTGGATCCACCAGCTTCACGTGAAGCCTTTTTTGTAGACTCCCCATGCTTATAATTGCCTAGTGGGACATTTTATGTGGATTCTCTGTGTATAATGATTGATTCATAGAATTTATAAAACCTGGGAGAACGTTCTTAAGCTTATATTGACATTGTTCATCACAGGGTTTTGCCAGCCTTTTCTGAGCTGTTGAATGCTTGCAATCTTGTCATATTCTTTTAGAGATTCCTATCCTGAGGTGCATAAAATTGCATAAATATGCATCCGTAAATGCTAATGTAGATCTTCACAATATAATCATACTTTTCTTTCATGTTTTGATTTCTGCTGCAATAATTAACCATATTGGCATTTAAGTGTCATTCCTGGCCTGTGAGCATTGAAATAGTAACTCCAAGGGCTTAAGAAAAACTGAGAAAACATTGTGATCCATAAAATTAAATTAATCTGCAGGTCCGAGTTTTGTTCTGTTAATCTTTCTCAACATGCAGGCAAACATCTCTGCTTTGCGCATTTTAACATCCTGCTCTAAAGTCTTTCTCAACAAATTTAATCTTTGTATTCTTAAAAAGGCAACAAAACCAGTCTCAATCTCTTACACCCATCACATAGACAAATCTCCATTTCTGGAGGTAGTAATATGGCCAATATAAAATATCTAGGTGGGTAAAGAAGCCCCAACCTGGGTATTTTTGCAAGAAAACACAGCGATTGGTGGATGTATGGTGAATAGTAGAGGTTTAATCCTTGATATAAGTGTATGTAAACAAAATATCCCATTCATATCTGTGCCTTCTGTGAATGTACTCTCATATTATATAATTACAGAACACCTTCCACATTACAACTCTGAGTTGCTTTCTAATTCAACTACGAGGGATCATCTCCTCAGCCAGTTGCCAAGGATACCGTATTTCACATTTTTGCTGTTTTGAAACAGTTGATTTTTATGTAACATTTCTCTGTGAGCTTATAGGTATCATTAACATGCTGCATTATTTTCACAGAGTAAGGACCAAATCAGGATTAACTGAAAACATGCTCTCTAACAAGCTACGCTTTGATAGTAGGATTATATCGAGGTAATCAGAAATTTTGTGAAGCTTTTCAACTCTATGAATTTATCAATGATGATCTTTACCCTCTTGAAATAATTAACTGCACTGAACCTTTCTGTTCCCTATCTTTAGAAAAAAGTATGTGCTGTGTGTACATATATATATGTATACATATATACACATATATGTATATATACATATATATGCATACAAGTATAATACAAATTTTGACATGGCTGATGGATAGTGGCTTTACAGTCCCATTGTACAGTGTTAAGATGCATAAGTTACGTTACCATCATACCCATAGCTCTGTGCAGGACAGTTAGCACACGGGCTGTGTAAAATTTTGCTCTTAGCCATTGCACCTCAGTTGATTAAAATCTATTTTAGCCTTGCCTTAGTATGCAGCAACCACTGTGGATGGAAAGGATGGCTTTGTGTCTTGTTTGTAGCTCCTTGCATATTAAACTTGCAGGCTTAGGGCATTCTTGAAACTGTTCTGAATTGAGTAGCGGTGACATAAACGTATTCTTCAGCTCTGAAAGTGGCGCTTTTCTGAAGCAGTGAGCTGTATACTTGTTAGACATAGCTGAGGATTCAGCCACATAGCTTCACATACCATAGCTTCATATACCATAATGAATGCAGTAGTCTTGGTGTAAGTAATCTTTAGTTAATGGGTGAAAATTATATTGATATACTAAAACATGAAGCCTTGAAAGGTGTTTTTGACATTATGGAGAATGGAATATTGCATTAAAATACGTGTCCAAATCCAGAAGTTTAATTCCATGGTGGTTTAGAGAAAATAGTCAGATACCTCTTTCAAATAAAAAGATTGTACAATATGCGTTGTGCAATGTACATTGAAAATAAAATGCATATTCCAAAATAGGAATGTTATTTATGTTTGGGTTGAATTGGATTTATATAGATGCAAAAACATAAAGGTGCTTTTCAATTTTCCTTCTAGAAATGGTCGCGATGCTTGTAGAGAGTTGATTGGATTTTTTTTTGCATGTGACAGATCCCTTACTGTGTATGAATTTCGACAGTTTGGAAAAAATAGGTAGGATGAATTACTTTTTTAAAAGGTTTTAGAAAACATCTTCTACGGTATCTAAGAAACTTAAATCAATTTAATTGTTTTAATATCAGTTTTGAATTATTTCACAGAACAAATGCCTTGCCTTTCATTCAGAAGGGAGTGTATCAACATCAACGTGGACAAAAGAAGGGAAAAGCTTATGATCTTAGTGACTTCTATATTGTAAGTATTCTGTTGAATCCGTGTCAATTTTGTTGGTGATTTGGAAGTAATATTTAGATATTCGAGTTGAAAATTGTGATCTAGCTTTCAGGGAGGACCAAAACTCTTTCACTTCAGTAAGTTTTTGAATTAAATCTGAATTAAAGATTTTCAGGGGTCCCGATTATTTTGCTGTCCCACCTTTTAGAGATTCCATTTTTGGCTTCAGATTAAGCTGTAGTTTGTATTTTTCCCACTAGAGGTCACAAGACTGCAGACAGTGTAGACCTTTTTGTAGGCGAAATGAACAACTCGGGAAGGAGAGTCCTGAAGATGCAGTAGACCAAAGTACTTGTAATAAATTTTGCAAGGTCTGCTGGCATTTTTGAAACGAGGCAATGATTAAATATTTTTTGAAACATGAGGAAATTGCAGGTTTCTTGCTTTTAACCTAAAGTTTGAAAATGTTTATCACCAGCTGTTTAGAGAGAGCTTTTGAAACAATGGTAAACTTCATCTACCAGCTAATCTGATGACTGACTACAAATCATATTGAATCTTCTGTACTTCTGTACTGGGTTAAGTGTTCCTGGCTTATAAATACTTGAGCAATTTTTCAAGTACAGAGTGTTTTCACTGAGTTCTTCACATCCTCCTGCAAATCTTAAGTTTAGAGCAAAAACTGTGTTTGAATGAAGTACTGAAAGTAAAAGACGACAACATTAGTTTTTAAGAGTGTTTTGTCTAATCACCTGCCTAATCCTAACTGTTTACGTGTGGTTACAATATAAGAGTTTCCAAGATGAAATAGATTACTTTCTTTATGGTATGGAGGTTGAAGCTGTTTTTTAGAGATTTTTTTTTTTTTTGTCACGTGTATCTTTGCAACCTGCAGATGGAAATGTGTTCTGAATAAAGATGTGTCTTAAGGCCATCCACAAAATGCTACTGAGTTCGATAGCTCTTTGGAATGATGTCATATCTGTGAATCTCCGTATCTGCAAACTGGCGTTCTGGGCTGACATTAAGATATACAAATCTCTCACAAAGTCTAAATGGTTGAGACAGTTGCACAATAACGGTGTCTCTGTCTCCTTCCTAATTTATGAGTTTTGGAGGCTTTATAACCTAAGCCTGCATGGATATTACAGTTAGAGCTACTGATTTTTTTGATTCTTCTCAGCATTCTTTGCTTTTAGTTTGCTGCTTTTCTTTCTCTCCCCTTCCCTCTTCTCCCAAACCAAAAAGCATCTTTAACTTTGCAGAATACATGAGGTGTGTCCTCTGTGGACTTGGAGGGAAGGGGAAGAGATTCTACTGGCTAATAGAACTCTATGCTACTAATAACATGGTTTTAGTCAATATTTATTAGTGAAATCTATCAATTTTAAAAAATAACTTTATAGTTAAACATTGCAGGAATGATTTGGACTTTGGGAAGGCTACTTTTTAGTTGTTTGTTTATCTCAAGTATGATTTTAGGTTATTGAAAATAGCTCTGGAGGGTTTCTTCTAGTCTGAGAGAACTTTGCTCTCATGCAATCAATGTGGCACCTTCTGTGACTCTCTTCTGTGGTCCAGTGAGTTTTGGATCCCTTAAGGATGAAGGGGGAAGAAAAATTGAAAAGTAGAGCCTGGCTGAGGGAACAACGATCTGTAGTCTCATCTTTCTTAGCTGTAGATTAGGCAACGGTAGGCCCTCTTACTAGACAAATTTCTATGAAGAGGATAATTTGTCATCTTGGAGCCTGCAGCTGGTTTTGTTTAGTACTAGAAAGTCTCTGTTAAGAAGGTTAACTGACCTTAGCTACACCTTTTCATCATTTCATACCAAGGCTTTTAACAATCATACTTCTTGAAAGTCTTGCAGAATGTATTTTACAAAATACACGACCTATTTGTAAATCATTGTACGCTTTACCAACAGGGAGCTAACCTAACTTTCCGAAGTGTTGATCATAACCTTCCAGAAAGCGTTAAGCAGAGCTCGGTTCTCACCCTTCGTGTGATAAGTATTGATGAAGCAGCTATGGATTTTCTAAAGTAAGTGCAGCTAACTGTTTTTCAAGTTACCTTTCCTTCCTTACGCAAAAGGAGCTTCTAACATCTTATTACTTAATACTGCTAAAAAAAAAAAAATCCGTGTTTAGGCTGTTAGGAGAAACTAGTAATAGATGTTGGTGGATGTTCTGTAATTCAGTAGCTTTCTAGAATGATAAGGAGTGATTTAAAAATAAGAATTAATTAATTATGAAACTGTCTTATTTGCTTTGTTTGAAGTCAGATGCTTTTATATACAAATCATATACTGAAACTATTCTTATGTGATGAACTAAAATACTACATTTAGGGAAAAATGTTTTTTTTGTGATCAACATTACTATTGACTCTTTTGTGAAGCTTATGTTAAAAGCTTGTATCAGTCATGATAACGCAAGTGTTTGAACACCAGCAGGGGAAGAATTGGAGGTTTCTCTCTGTTTTTTCTTTTTCATTTTCTTTTTCCTTCCTTCATTCTTCATTCTTCCAGATATTGCCACATGTTGAAGACTTCCTTCCCAGGAACTAGGACAGGATTTCTGCACTTATTCTTTCAAAATAGGTTTTAGTAAATTATGTTGTTCCATAGTCTGAAACATGGGAATTTCTTAGAACTTTTTCAGTTGATTAGGTGAATGGTTAACCTTTGAGTAGGAGTTATTTTTGCAGGTAATATTCTCATCTCAATATCAATACAGATAGATAGATATCTGTATATCTATCTGTCTAGGGAATGAAGCATCTTTTTCTGGGGTTTCTGGCTTGTATTGTGAGTATACTGGTTCTTAGCACAAGTAAAATCTTGGTATAAAATTTATTGCACTGCTGTGCTGCCTGAACTGGGAAGTTACTTAACAGTGTTGGAAATACAGTCAAAGTTTGATTACTCAAATTTTGGTGAGGAGTGTTAGCCGATAGCAAATATTACAAGGTACAAATTTTCATAAAATCATGGAATCATAGAAAAAGACCTCAAGAGGGTCTCTGGTTCACCCCCCCTGCTCAGAGCAGGGTTTACTACAGCAGGTTGCTCAGGGCTGCATCCAGGTTTTTTTTTTTTTAATATCTCCAAGGATGGAGACTGCAACCTCTGTGGGCAACCTATTCCAGTGTTCAATCACCCCCACAGTACAAAAGTGTTTCCTGATATTCAGAGGGAACCTCCTGTGTTTCAGTTTGTGCCCAGTGCCTCTGGTCCTGTCACTGGGCTGTACCGAGCAGAGCCTGTCTCAATCTTCTTTACTCCCTCCTGTCAGGTATTTGTACACACTGATAAGATCCCCCGAGCCTTCTCTTTCCAGGCTAAACAGTCCCAGCTCTCCCGGCCTCTCCTCATATTTCAGATGCTTCAGTCTCTTCTTGACTAGGAACAGCCATAAAAGAATCTCAATTAAATACATTCACTATCTAAAGACTACTTTTGTTAGAACAACTTAACTGATTATTATTTTTCTTTCTGCAAGTGTTTAGACACATGAAGCTTGTTCTCAGTTAAGGTAATACTCACTTTAAGGTCCCTTTACACTGAAAGGTTTGCAAAGGAACCATAGTGAGCTAACTACATAAAACAGTAAATTCAAATGTAATTCGTTAAAGAAATGTATAGTTGTAGGATGCTTAGTGCTTATTGTTCCTTCTCTGCAAGGTTTCCATGAAATAAAAACAATATAGCTTAATTTCACATAGTTTGTGTAAGACATTTTACATCTCAGAAGCCTATCATTCTGGTAAACAGCTTTTTCTTTCATTTGTTGCTAATCTTATACCTGTGAAACTTGGAGTTGATCCAATGTTATCTCTGAAGGGTCCAGAACAAAGACCTGGTCACTGGTTATAATTTTGGATTTTCTGCTATCTGTGGTGGAACAGATTGTTTCTTTTTTATACACTCTCTATGTGTTCTTTCCATTGGTGACTAAATTTCGGATTGTGAAGTCTGTCTTTTTCTTCTGCACGGGGGTGTTATTGAACTCTGTATTCTCTGGTGCAAAACTCTCGAATTGAGTCCTCTTACCCCCATTATTGTACTCACAGAGAATCCTGCTCAGGTACAGTCCAAAAGGTCTATTGCAGGTTTTCAGGAGCAGCTATGCCCTGCTGCCACAAGCCGTGAATCTTTTGTGTTTTACATGTGCTTTAGAGAAAGTACGCTGTCTTTTGTAGGTGGTTATTGACTTTCCAGTTTAGGCAGTTTGATACAGACAAGCTTTCAGGGACTTCATAATGGGAGGTACCCAAAGTGGGGATGAAAAGTCTTTGGCATCAGAAAGCAGGAGGAGGAGTACTCCATGGCAAAGTACTGGTGAGCAAACAGCTCAAGTTGACAGTAGTGCCTTTGCCTTTGCCTTCCTATTCTGATTAAAATAATTACTGGATTTTTTTTTTCCTTCCAATAGGTTCTTCCACAATATTTTTTTATCAACCTCTATAATAATTTCTGATGGGGTTTTCCGGGAAGCCCTTCTCAGAAGGGAATCACTTGCCAAACAAAACACAAAATTTAACCATAATTCCCAGATCATACCTGAGATATGCTGATCCAGATTTTGGTCTACACGCTTTCTATTTCTCTTCTAAAGAGAAATTTGTAGCTACTTCATGTTATTTTCCTATTCATAACTAAATGTAGTTGCTTTAACAAACTCTTCGAGTGGCCTGAGCTGAAAATTAGGATCGTCTTGAAATAAATTTCTGGAGATTTTACGCACAAAAGGAATTATCCATGATTAATGAATTAGTACAGGAGCTGCTAATGGAATATTGTCAGAAGGGAATTTCTGCATATCTGCAGTTGTGCAGCAAAGACTTCTGTGTGTGCCATCTCAAACTCAAGCAATTGGATACTATGCTTATACGGGCAGTATAAGAATTAAATATAAAGTTCAATATGTTTTTTACTACAGCTGTTTTGAATTCAGTAATATTACATGTAATTTGACCAATCAAGATTAATTTTGATTATTTTAGAGCTTCTTCTATGGAATTCAAGCAAGAGTGTTCCAACCAAGTGGTTGATGACAGCAAAGTTTTCAAGAAGATTCAAGGTTTGTGTCTACCAGAACCCATTTAATTTTAATTTCTGTATCTCTATCTTTACAGCTCAACACAAAGAACAATAGTAATATTATAAATTAAATTAAACAAAAGCTAGATATTTATCAGAATATTATTAGAATCTGATACCAGAATAAATCAATCATAAGAATACCTTCTCCTCTCTCTTTCTGTAAATAAACAGTCTGACTAAAGATCATGGAGACAGTACGGAATAATTGTGAATGCAATCAATAACATGTTAATCTCTGTGTCGACATAATCTCTGAAAAAATGCTGAAGCATAACGTTGATCTTATGTTAAACTGGCATTAAATTTAAAAAGTTACTGGCAAAATGTACAAACACAGTCTCATTTCTTCAGTTAATATTGCGCTAGATCCTTCTTTGGGACATTGCTTCTATACATTGATAAGTTGTTTTTTGATAGTCTTCAATATTATGCTTATTAAAATACGTGAGTACAATTGTGTAGTATATTCTGGAATATGTGATTAAATTTTACCAGGTTCCTACCTAGAGTCTTTAGGACGAAGGCATAGCTTTGTGTTTAAAATTATGGAAAGATGTTTACGCGGTGCTGTGTTTTATCTTTGTAACCTGTGGTCAGCAAAAACTGTTGAGCTGAACAGCTTCCAGCTCATAGAATCTCCGCTATTTACTGTCATTAGCTAGAACTGTTTTAAGTAGGCTGCTTTGGTAACTAAAATCTTCTTGGACATTTATGTTTATAAAAATTGTTGGAATGATCTATTAGGGGTATTTTTTAATCTTCTAGTTATTCCATGTTTTCCCTCACATAATAGACACAAATTGATTTCTCAATCATCTGACTACATCTAAGGTTTGCTGGTGTGGCTTGGAAGAAGGTTATGTGTATAAACTTCAAGACATCTTTTAACATACGTCAGAATTTGAACTTTACTGGAAAAAACTTTCTTCTTTCACTGTCGCCCCTATTTTGCTTTATAGTTGTAGATACAAGTAATCTGAGGATATAATATGATAATAGCAGATTACTTCTCTGTTAACAGAGTATGCTGAGAAACTCAGACATGCCTAAAGTAAACCTGCTACCTAGAGATTTTGATAAGGCTGTCATTTTACCATAGAAATAGTTCTCTCTGTATAATTTTGGAACAATTTTGCAGAATTACTTATATTTGTTCTTGTTTCCACATGTATTTAACATGTTTGTACAATGAAGGAGCAACTGTGTGTCCCATAATAGAATGTTTGTATTACCAAAGTAGTGTTCCTAAATTGCTTTGTATGCTGAATCATGGTACGTAATCAATTCTAGCAGAAGTAAGCCATTTTATAATCTGAGCACATAAAGGGCAATATCCATTCTTCCTTTCCTTCTGTGATCTCTTTAAATGTTTTGTTAGATGTTGGTTGCTGCTTTATATGATTTCTACTCAAATGTTAAGTAACTGATAGTTTCATTTTGAACTGACATTCTCTCATCAAAGATAAGGGAGCCTGAATGCGTGGATGTGTCATTTTAACCAGCAGTATCATAAGTACTTGTGGTTTACTTTTATATCAGCTCCATAGCATGTGGCCAACTTCAGGTAAACATTGTGTCCTCTATTTCTCTAAATCCTCAGGTATGCTCAGAGAGACACTAAGTAAAAGAGGAGTTCGGGTTATAACAGGCTTAGGAAAGTATTTCCGACGCGTAGACAAGAACAGAAATGGTTTTCTCTCTCAGGCAGACTTTAAAGAAGCTCTAAAAGTATTCAATTTGGGAATACCTGAAGGGGTAAGTCTAGCTGAAACTGTAATCATGGGTATTATCTTACTGTAATTTATAGAATCACTTCCTTTCTTTGCTTAAATCTATAGTTTAATAGCTGTTCTTTGCAAGGTTCTTTTTCCCCTTGTGGTATGTTGTCATTTCTGCATTCAGTCCTGTGTGAAATTCTTAAAAATAAAAAAATAACAATAAATTTTAAAATGTGCAATCTTTTTACATCATGAAGAAGCAAGTGCGATTGCAGTCCATTTTTTTTCTTTTTTGGCCTTTTAAAAATAATTTGTATGATGCTATTTACTTATCTTTTTTCTTGGTTTTATAGATTATGTTTTAAAAACAGCCCATATCTATCAAAACTGCAAATAATGTGAATTATGGTAATCAGTGACCGATGACGGCTTGCATTTTTTTGATGAATCTTGGAGTCAGTTTTGATTTGGAAGTTGTTTTTTTGTGAGAATACTGTAATTTCCTATTATAGCAATTGTTTCATTCTAGGACATAGTGAAGAACTTTGGCAAAATATTTTTAAATTGCAGGATTTTGAATCTTTATGGCTTATTCTTGATGATAGCAAGAGTGATAAGGTTGACTATGGAGAATTTACTCGTGCTGTATTTGGAGAAATGAATGAATATCGGAAAGCATTTGTAAGAAAAGTAAGTTTTCTTGCAGACATTCTAAGTGTAGATATTTTGCAGTCTAACTTTGAAGTTGGTTATTCGTCATGTTCTGGGTGGTGGTTTTTTGGTGGTGGTGGATTTTTTGGTGGTGGTGGTTTCCTTGAATTGTGCATCTGGTAATTGACTTTTTAAACTTTCAGATCAGTTTATTAAAATAAACATAAATTAGAAGACTGCATGCTGTTCCATTGTTGAATTAGTTAATGTTGAACTCTAGAATGAATTCCTTTATTATTTTGAGTTTATGCATATGCGTGCAGTTCAGTCCAGTGAGTAAAGCATCTGGCACCCTGAAACTCTCTCTTCCAGAAGTCTGTTTCCTTATTTTGGCAGATTGCTGTATCTGTGTGCAGATTTTTTTCCCTCAGTGTCTGAAATAGAGGCAATAATACTTGCCTCCTTTGAGACCTACAATTAGAGTCGTGATGTTTGTGAGGCTTCCTACATTTGAAATGCCATTTGTTATATGTCTATAATGTAATGTGGAGCTGTTTGCAGTATGAAACACTGATTACAAACCAGCCAACAGAGTAGCGACTGGATATCAACATCAAGAAAAACAACACATACTTTCATACTTTTAATCATGGAGGATCTGACTCTCCTAGCCTTATGTATCAAGCATGTGTATTTAAGTAAACTGAAATGAAAATGAAGCTGCTGTTAGCAGTGCTGAAAAGGCTGTGCTGAGGGCTGTCAGAATGATGCAGGAATCTTAGTAACTGGAGGAGGCAGAAGGGAAGCAGCTTAACTTCTGATTCTAAGGAAGAGCTAGAAACTTTGGAGAAAATAATTTTTTTTGAGTTGGTGAGGGGACCACATTTGATGTGAAAGCTGTTGAGATAAAATAATAATGAAATTCCATAATCTAGAATAATTTTCTGGTATCTGGTGCCCTACATAAAATAGGTAAATTGACATAACCCATTGCACACGATCTAAAAATATGTGCTAGGTAGTTAAGTATATTTGATCTTTACATCTTTCCACTTGTTCTTTTTTTCTTTTTCCTTATATGCTTATATGAATTTTTTTTCCCTTTATAGGCCTATATGAAACTAGATTTCAACAAAACTGGGAGTGTGCCTATGGTAGATATCAGAAAATGTTACTGCGCGAAGAAACATCCTCTAGTATTGGCAGGTAATTCATATGAACAAAAGTAGTTAAATCTGTAACTACTGAAGTCATCTTGTTAGCAGAGATACCAGATCCAGAAAGTAGTTGCAAATACAAACTGATTTCATATTGGCCTAGACTTGAGCTGTTAAGGAGAACTTTTATTCCTCTGATGACCTATAATGTGTCTCTCTGGAACATGACTATAAATAGTAATGGACTTCATATACACAATTTTAATACTTGCTTTTTGTCAAGCTGCAAAT